AGAGAAAGGGTTTTGGTTGCTCAGCTTGTTGCTCCATCTTACATAGAGACACAACTAAACAAAAAAAATGAGTTAAACATACCTTGGGATAGTGGAAAAAACTGTTTAGTTCAATTTAAAAGTAGTAGCACTTTCAGTTACAACACCCAGGAAAGAAATACAACTGGAAAAACACTGAAAGGGTGAGCAATGAGTACTTTCTAAAAGAAATAGAAATAGCATATTTTAGAACAATTCCTAGCATCAAAACCTATCGCAATGACTATTCAAGAAAGAGTACCAACTACCTTTAGTTAAGAATGAGCAGAAACAGTGCAAATGGATGCCAGCACAGCTGTCAAGAAAAGAGACATAGCTAAACAGAGAAAAATAAATACCCTCCATTTATTGGTTTTTCTTCATAAAAGAAACAGTTATAAACATATGCATTAGACCATAAGTACCTTCTAAAAAATGGAAACCAAAGATCTCACAGTTAGTGATAGCCACAGTGAATGACTCAGTATAGGAAAGAGACGCTGCAGAACACTGAAGCACTGAGTATGGCCTACTTTCTACCGTAAATATAGCACTGTGTTCGATTTAAAGGTCCCCTTCAATTTTTCTACCCTTCCTTAAAGAAACATACTCTTGGTGTTTTAATTGGGTTGAGATTTGGTTGGGAGTGATGTCACCTCTAAATGGAGCACCAGTTCTCAGAGAACTTGGAACGCTGATTGTTGTTTCATTGTTTCCTAATATAGACGCTTTTGGCCAAAGAAAGAAACCCTGTGAGGCATTATGTTCCATTTTTAGATGTTACCAGCGTTCAATCTGCCTTCTTTGGTTTTCTTTTTTTTTTAGGAAAAACTTGTGTTTGTCCAGAATGTGGCAGTGACCATGTGGTTCAAGTTGCCGAGCTCACGGCTCCTCTTAGCAGTACTCCCATCAGTCAGTCGCCAAGGCCTGAAAGCAAAGATCATCTAGGTTCTACATACAGTGGAGACAAGGTCCTTCTCCCAAATGCAAGTTTTTGTTTGTGTTAGTCTACTGCCTGATCTAATCAATGTTTTTCTTTTTCACCTTCACACCCCTTTATTGCAACAGCTTGATGATACAAAGGAACTGTCAAGCTGTAGTCTCTTTCTGGAGACTGCCATCACTTCAATGGAGCCGAGCTTTGCCACAGCCCAGGGAACCTCCTTCTTTATTGGCGATGGTCCTGACGACACCAGCAGCCTCTCCTACAACACTGAGCACCAGAGTAAAGAAGACCTGGCTGGAAGCTACCACTACTCCATCCTGGGAGATACACCAACCTCAGCTGAGCCCACAGAGCCATCCATCCCTAAGGGTGAGCCCAAATGTATGCCTTAAATCTCTGTAAACATGAGGAATCCTGTCTTACTTGCTTGTTTCAATATTTTTTCCTGAGATAAAGTGATTCAATTACATTTTACACCATCAAAGACGCACAGCAAAAAACAAAAAGTAGTGGATCATGAAACTATTAAACTAACTAGAAGTACACAAAGGAAAAAGCAACAAAAGTTGTGTAAGTTCCTGATAGCAGCAGCACAGCTGATATGTCTCTCCAGGATGGTGTCACAGCCAAACATAACAAGAACAGATGAAGATACTATGACGAGATAACATACTGTTAGCGTTGAATTAACAAATAATGCAGAATTGAAGAATAGAGACCGAATGAAACAGACAGAAAAAGTGGCCCCTATGTCCTCCAGCAGTCTAAGTCTATAGCAGCATAACTATAGGGATAGCTCAGGATACCTGAGCCTCTCTAACTATAAGCTTTATCAAAAAGGAAAGTTTAAAGCCTACCCTTAAAGTAGACTCATGCACTAAAACTGGTTGTTGGTTCAAAAGCCTGATAACTAAAAGCTCTGCCTCTCATTGTACTTTTAGACATTCTAGGAACCACTAGTAAACCTGCAGAAGGAGTGCGAAGTGCCCTGCTAGGGACATAAGGAAAGGTCATATCTCTGATATTAGATGGAGCTTTGTAGCTTTAGACTTTAAATGTGAGAAACAGGATTAAATATACTTTTAGTTACATACTCCCTTTTGTTGTGTCCCATAGCGCCTGAAGCTGATGGGCCAAAGTGGTAAGCTATCAGATCCCAAAACGCTGAGGGAAAGTGTTTGATATTGCAGCAGTGCAGTGCTACCAGTGGCACTAAAACTGGAAGTTGCAGCTCTAGCACCCTTAGTTGCTAAAAGTTAAACATTGCTGCTTTAAACTGATTCAATATGTTTTTTTCCTTTCTTAAGCTGCTAAAAAACATAATTTCTTCCTCTCTTGGGTTTACAAATACCAAATGTTCAGCTGTTTATAATAGTCCTCATATTTCTTTAGTTCATTTGGTTGTTTTTTTTTAACCCCCTTTCGTTGGGGCCCCTCCAACTTAATCTTCTTCTTAACCCCACGTGGCCTGAATTTATATGTAAATGTATATATAATAACATATGCTGTTAGGGACCGGTTTTAACAGAGACAAGAGCTTGCCAAAGGTTCCTGTTCACTGAATGTGTAATAACTGCACCTCAAGTCTCCCGGAAGTTCCGGGGGTTAAATAAGCATCTCCCTGCCTGTCTGTAACTGGCTCTGAGGGAATGCACATGCTATCTTGGTAATACAAAGGCCTTGTTTCATATTTGTTGCAATGATAGGTGTCAAAGGGTAAATATCACCACTTTCACATTTGAACCTCTCAAAGCCCATCGGGTCCAAACTCCAGAGCTGTGTTCAAAGCCCCACAGCTCTGGAACTGTTATAGCTAGAGATTTGAAAATGGCTGCTTTTGTAGTTCACATGATGTAGAACATATTTAATACAATGAGATCTGACTTTTCTCAAGAATGTCTTCATTACTGCTGTTCAAACGATACCTATAATTTCTGAGAATAAAAAGAACAACTTTGAGTCATGTTTGAACTGATGCAGCTTGGGATGTGTTCTACTCACCCGATTTTAATTTATATACCCAGAAACTAAAGGGTATTAGATTTCAGATAATGTTCCTATCTTATTTGCTTTTCCATTTGGGTATGCAAAATAGGCGAGGATTACCGTAATTTTCGGACTAAAAGCCGCGACTTTTTTCCCCATTTTTCGACCTGCATTGTTATATAACAATGCGGCTTATCTATGGACCTTTACAGCTAATGGCCACTAGCGTAATACCTAAATCTATGGATTTTACCATCCACCATGTTGACGTCACATTTGCTTCAACACACAAGTACAGTAGCCGCGCGCGCGGGAATTCGGAGGTCGCCCGGAAGCAGACTTCTACCGCGAGTGGTACGAGACAGACAGACGGACATTGCGAGCGCAAGACAGTTTGTGTTAAACATAAAAAACGTGCGGCTTATAGTCCGGTGCGGCTTGTATAGGTACAAATCATGCAATTTAGCTTCTGGGCTTATATTCAGGTGTGGCTAATAGTCCGAAAATTACGGTACCCAAAATTAGGAGGATGTTAAAGGAATAGTACACCCAAAACATGATTAGCCTTCATTTTCTACTCACCCCCATGCTGAACAACACTCTGGAGTACTTTTTTGATATCTCAAATGCATCTGGAGATCTGGGAGGCTTCTTGCTGTCTGCTGACATTCAAATAATGGAGGTCTATGGTGCCCGAGGCAGAAAGGTCCATAAAAGTCCACAAAAAACGTGTCAATATTCCTCCATACTGCTCGTCCAATGTATTCCAAGTGTCCTGAGTGGGTAGCGTCCATAATTTACTCGAAACGAAGTCATTTAGAATGTTTTTAAAGCATAAACAGTAGTGTATAGGACTTCCTAAAAGCGCGTTCACGAGTCTACGGATGAACCAGATGAAAGTGCGCATTCAGCTCGGCAAAGAACTCATGCTCTTCCTCAACACTGAAGTCCTCAGACATTTTTCTTTTGTTGTTTCTTTCTTTGCACAGGTAAACAGCACATTTCTTCTTCTACGCTTGCATTATCGGCAGAGCAGACGCTGAATTCGCACTTTCATCTGGTTTGGTCTGCCGCGGTTTCCGTAGACTCGTGAACGCGCTTTAAGGAAATCCTATACACTACTGTTTATGCTCTAAAAACATTCTAAATGACTTCGTTTCGAGTAAATTATGGACGCTACCCACTCAGGACACTTGGAATACATTGGACGAGCAGTATGGAGGAATAGTGACACGTTTTTTGTGGACTTTTATGGACCTTTCTGCCTCTGGTACCATAGACCTTCATTATTTGAATGTCAGCAGACAGCAAGAAGCCTCCCAGATCTCCAGATGCATTTGAGATATCAAAAAAGTACTCCAGAGTGTTGTTCAGCATGGGGGTGAGTAGAAAATGAAGGCTAATCATGTTTTGGGTGTACTATTCCTTTAAGAGGTTTTAATAACAGAAACACCCAATAGTATTCAAATGTAAAATGTAACAGGACCAGGTATAACCGAGAGGAAGATTAGTATGAGGGTGAATACAGAGATCAATTAAACAATATCCACAGCTCCCCCACATTTGCATCATTAGTAGCCCTTCAGATTCAATATGCATCTAATTACCAGATATAATAGCACATAATGCATGAAAATAAACTATATTACACTCCCCAGAAATGCTGATTATTTCTAAACAAAATCAACTATTCTGTCTTTGTGCAGGATTTCTTAGTATGTCCATTAAGTATCAGACATTGATACCAGAAAAAAACGTTTAACAAAAGCAAAGCTATATTGCCGCTAGCTTAACTTGGTTGTAAACTTAGATAATCCTCATAAAAGAAGCTTTGCTCAAATTAAAGCTTGTAAATAATATTAGATAAAGCCAAAGTCTCAATCTCCTGAAGCAGTCTCTCTCATGTAGCTTCATAAAACATGGTGGGAAAAGGCAACTTAGCATCGGCCACATTAAAACAGCCTTTACTAGTAAAAAGAAACGGTTTAAAAAAAAAAATCCCATCTTGTGGAACGTTGAAGCAACAAACAAAGCAGGTAATTGGAGATTGAGGCATTGGTTTTATTGGAGGAAACCCCCGAACGCTTGTTTGATACCAGCATCATCCTGATTCCAACCATTAGTCAGCCTCCTTCTCTTCGACAATCAAAAACGAAGGATTTAAATCTCTTTGACTTTTCAGAGGACTCCTTGGAGGGTTCCTCTGTGTTTCATTGGTCTCCCCGACATCTGTCTGCCATTTCTGGGAGGAACCACATGGTAAATTTGCAACAAGACAGATTGGAGTCATTACTGAAAGTGATGGGGGAGGGATGAAAGCCTGAGAGTCCTAATGATAGCTTTCTTTATCTTATTTTTTGTTGTTTTTAATTTGTAGTGCTGTAGTTGCAGAGTCAGTACTGTATAATCTGTCCTTGTGAAACCGCAGAGTCACAATGGAGACGGCACGTCCTGAAACCCCGAATGAAGTGGTTTTTGTGACTCAAAAGGCCTCATTTCTTCTTTTTGATGCACTTTATCTCCAAAGACGGCCTCTGTGCGTGCAGGTTTGTTCCTTCACCTTTAGAGGAATTTTTTTCTCCAGGTTCAAAGGCCTTTTTAGATCTTGATCTTTTGGTGCTCTTTAAATCAAAGCCTCTTGGCTTATTTTGGCCCCTGAGGGTCGTTGCGCTGTCATTTCTGATCAGCTGTAATCATCCATCACCCTACAGATAACTTCTGTTGCGGATTTATTGCTCTTAAATGCCTCTCCGCTCTGTGGTTTTTGGATATTGCTGTGGGCTGCTGCAGTAAAATCTGGCTACGGTTTCACAAAATAAAAAAGTCGGCCATGAGATATGCAAGTGGTTCCACAATGCAGCCAGAAATCTAAGCCTCAACTATTAGTGGAAGATATCATTTGAGGGATTGAGGGCAAAAATCTGCTCATTCATTAGTCTTCCAGTATATTTTTGGCTTAGCTGCAGTAGACTTTTTGCCTTTAACCTTCAGTTAAAGGCAACATTTTGGGATTTCTCTATATTTTGATAGGAATTTACTATGTAAATAAAATATATATGTGTATTATTACTTTTAATACTCATTCAAAGGGCAAAAAGTTAGTGGATTAAATAAAACTGATTATGTAACTAGTAAGCCCTACAAATTAGGGAAATATGTTGCGTCATATCACAAAAGCTGTGTAAGCAGATAAAGTTTGACGAATAGTATATGGAAATAGTCCCTCCAAGTGTTTTATTTATTCTTTCTATCTAGAAATAAGAGCAACTTTGAGTTTTTATAATGTTTGGACTCAATGAAAAGGCTGATACTTGATGTATATTTAATCAGCCAGTATAAAAGCTGACATGCATACAGCCTAACCCGATAGTAGACCCAATTTAATGGTTTGAAGCTAAAGGGGGGGCCCCCCCCAATGTGATTGGTGACCAGCGCCCCTGATATTTGACAGTTGACTCCTGTACAGTAGTTGATTCTGAGTTGTGCTTTAGATTTTTACATTTTTGTTTCATTGATAACAATCAGTGGTCTTTAAAATCCTTGAAAATTTTTATATTTCACAAGGTTTTTTTTAAAAACAGCCATTAAAAGACGCTCATCTTCAAAGCTTCTTGAATTTTTGTTTTTCAATAATTTTTAGTGTTTTTTTCCCCCCAAAGAATTCAACTTTTGTTAGCTATATACACAGATAATCGACTTTTTTTTTTCTTTGACTTCTCGAGATAACGACATAACTATCTCGTTATCACGGTTAAACCATTAATTGTTTTTTTAAGATAAAAAGATAATTATCTCGTTATCACAAGAAAAACAATTATTGATTTCTCGAGATAACAAGATGATTAACCTGTAATGAACGAGGCTGGGTAACAGCCATGGATTCCCAGTCATCCATGCCTGTGGTGCCTGTAGTTGTGCAGTTGCGGTACCGTGTGTGCGCAAACAATCCGTTTTTTAGTTTTTCTTTTTCTTTTCACTCATTGTCAATAGAGTTGCACTAATACCGAAACCAGTTTTGTGCAGGTATTGGGGGCCAAAAAATGGCATCGGCGCAACACTAATTGTCAGGTCATGGTGGATAATTGGGTTGCATAGAATACAGTAGAAACATATCTGTTTTTTTTATGAAATTCTTTAATTTGGAATCACGTGTTGTTGTGGTATTGAAGGACCTAATCAGTTTTAACTAGTGTTGCACCAATACCGAGACAAGTATCAGGAGGGGCACCAACCCAGCGCTAGAATGGTGGCATCAGCATCGGCGACTACCAACAAATAGGGCACCGATACCATTGTGAGAGCCAAAAGTTTATTCAACTATTGTCACCAATTCCAGGTAGGCAATAAAAAGTTCTACTGGATTCACTTTGTATTAAAAAATTTTCCTGCTTCAGAAAGGTAGGCAGCAGCTTGACAAAGCCATGATGGCAATTATTTTATATCCGAGTAGTATGAATATCTTTATATATACATACACACATCAATTTCAAACAGAAAGTATCAGTATGGTATCGGCCGATACCGCACAGCAAGGTATTGGTTATCAGTATCAGGGCCAAAAAGTGGCATCAGAGCAACTCAAGTTTTAACACACACCAATCATCTTGTTATGAGAAAATGGCTTTTGTTATCTTTAGATAATGAGAAATTTAAGTCGTTTTCTCGAGAAAACCACCGTGTAAAAGTATCGGAGCGACGCCGCCGCTCTCGGCTTCCATACACAGATGCATCAGTGCATATAATCTTTATGTTGGCGAATCAGTTAATTTTTTATTGAGTTTCAATGTTCCTGGAAAAGGATAACTTTTAGGGAGCATGGCTTATGGTCCTTGAATTTGAGGAAACTGGAAAAATCTGCAAATAACAAACATAAACCTTCTGTATATAGACTTAAAGTCATAGGGAAATCATATTTAAATGTCAAATCATTCTTGCTTAAACATGTTTATAAATGTATTCTTTATCAGACCATATTGTCCCAAAATTTAGAAAATTTTGATTTAAAAAAAAAAAATTCCTGTCTTAAACTCAGTTTTTTTTCCTCATTATTTTATGCAGGCCAGTTAATTGTACATCAGCAAGTACACCTAAATTCGGCCAATCATATATCAACAGTCATCTGTCAATCAAAATTTTTTCGGTCATACCATCTTGATTCATATTTCGCAGCTAATATACGCAACGGTGCAAATAAGAAATAAGAATAACTTATGTTATCATTGAATTCCATCCCAGTGTTCACGGGGATGGACGTCTTTGTCTTCAGCAGGCGTAGAGCTAACAGAACTGGCAGCGTTGCGAGGCAAGGGCTCAAACATGTACGGCTGTAAGCCTTCTACACCAAACCAAGCTTCTGCCGCCCTGGCGTCCTCTTCCACAACATCTTTGTCACCACTTACCTCCTCTAAATAAAAAATGTACACTTATAAATGTATCACTTATCACAACACTTATCCACAACCTCCGACACAAAACTCTCCTCCTCTTGCATGTTTCCGCTGTCCATAGCGTTCCTTGACAGTGTCGATTCTAGGTCACCAATTTAGTGCTACTTGGTCCCAATGGAATTTCCCATTGGGAACCTACTAGCACTAAGTTGCTAACTGGTTAGCAAGATGCTTCCAAGAAACCGGCCACAACCAAACTTGCTTGCAAACCTTCCGCAACAACAATCCCGCCCCCTTGATAATCGACCAATCACATTCACTTTATTCACTCATGTAAAATCATGCACCACTAAGGACTACGACTACGACCTTAAAGGTCATACTGTAGCTCACATAACTTCTATTTAAGCTATTTATTTTTCAAAGTTAATACATCCACAGAACATCTGATGCGGTGCAGATTAACTGTGAACAAAACAAGACAGATTTAAATGATAGCTTTGTACATTTGTACATTAATTGTTACTTGTGGTTACCATGCCAACATAGACATGAAAGAGTTCTTCACCAATGGAAATAGTAGGTTAAAGCCATGTGAGGAGTCATCCTAGTAGTTCCATAATAGAGCTTGGAAATGTCACTTGGCATAACATTTCTTTGATTCAGGCTAAAAAAGACATTGGTGCCAATGTAAGGAAATAAAGGGGCTCAGAGGTTATGCAGAGGCCACTTTAAACTGTTTAGTTAAATGTTTGCAAATTAAACTAAAAGTTATCTCTTCCATAGGGTTTGTCAGCTGGTTTCCTGGCCATTAATGCTACTACTAGGTTAGCATTAGCTGTTCACCTGCTAGTAAACAGTATAGTAAACGGTGTGTTTCGCCTGCTGGTTCCCGGGGCAACCAATGCTAATGCTAATACTGGCTTCCAGGTTCACTAGAATTAGTGGCCCCTACTAGCCGGGAGGTGGTAGAGTTTCCCCTTTAAATATATTTCACATTTAAAACTTCAGTTGCAAACGAATAAAAGATAAATTGACCTTCTCCCAACGCTAATTCTTTCACATTTTGTTTATTTTTTGAATTGAATAAGCCCCTAACCTCTGTAAAAATGCCAGAAATGCTTAAAAAAGAAACTCAATTAGATGCCATACTTGAAGCAGTCAGAGTAGATGCAAAAGCTTTATGTCTCTGTAAAGGTGGCGCTTTCGATTTTCTTATTAGCATTCCAGTCCGTGGTAATGCTAACCAGTTTGTAGTCATTAAAGATGGAACTACAAAGCTGATAAGTCTGAAATACAGATACAAACTGGTGTTTAGAGACTGTTGAGGGTTTAACCAATGTGTTCAATTACAGTTTTTGTTATTTTTCTGTTTGTTTGCTGAATACACCTTTAATGATAACAGATTATGTCTCTATTGCACGAAACCACTCAGACGTTTAATTCTATAAGGAGTTTTTCAGGTGTCTATTTTCTGCTGTTGTGTCTAGATGACTTGGATCTATTATCCGAGGAAAACATGTCCGTGGACCATCGGCTGAAGCTTTTCCTGGACATGGAGGTCTTTGAAGAAGAAGAAGAGGAGCTTCACTCTTTCCTCAAGGTTTGTTGCACAGATGGGGAGGATATCTCTGCAAACAGATGGGAGGAACTGAAAAAGCTCCAGTGAAGAAGAAGAGTTGTTAGTCGTTGTTTCAAGGATTTTTAAATCTTTGCCATAGAAACCAAATTACTTCCAGATACTTTAAACCGAAACGTGGCGGTTCTAATTTTAAAAAGTCCCATTAATTATCTCCCATAAGGCTCAAAGGTTTGGTTATAAACCATGGTGCCAATTTCCTAAACATCAGCTGTGGTTGGGTCCGGCCTTTTAAAACGGTAACGAGACGAAGAAACAAATCAGCCAGCGGGCGGTGAGCACGGCGGAGGAGCCCATGGGAACACCACTTTTCACTGTGTTCTTCTCACTTGTGCAAGCTGCAGATAAACATTAATAGATGTGGTTATTTTTTTAAATGTCCCAGTCATTTATAGTCATCTGAAAATCCAGATGTTAAGAGTTTAGTGTCAAAATTATGGCTCAATGAGCCTTATTATGATGCTATCAGAAGAACAATATTCACCCAAGTAAACAGCTGTCATTAATTGCATTTTCTTTTTCGAATATCCTGTAACATCATGTTCCTCTTTAATTTCTTTGGATCCACAGATGTCAGCTGTAAAATTTGGGGAATTAGGGGAGGTTCCCTCGCTGTTGGTCGTTTCGAACCAGCGGTTATACTTTCTGGAAATGATGTCAGACGTGCAGTAAGTAAAGCAAAATTTCAGTTTTTCCTGAGTTTTTCAGAAAATAAATGGATAAATAGAAAGAACGTAGCAATGCTAATATTAAACCGCTTTAGGGTTGCCATCTTTGTATGCATTTTTTTTCAGTTGGATACGATTTGGAATTTCATGCATTTTAGAAAATGTTTCTAATATTTGTGAAACTGAAGTGTCTGACGGTCCGACTTAATGAGTATAGATTCACTCCTATGTAAAGCATTTCATTCATTTTTAATCAGCTTTCAGTTCAAACAAATGCAAAAAGAGACCTTTTTATTTAACAAAAAGCTCCACAGAGAAGAACACGGTGTTGCCATCATCACTCAGCAGGGATTTGGTGCCTTTTTATTAGAAAACAAGAAAGTGGGTTAGATATAAAGGAATAATGACAGTGGTTGTGATAAATGTTGAAAACTGCTAAAGTAAATACAGTATTATGGTCAATTAAGAAAATCTTGCCACTGGTGGCGGCCCTCAAGGGCCTACTGGAGAAAAATGTTACCAGTTTAAGAACAATTTGGGAAATAAGACAGTGTTGTACATCATTGCAGGAAGATGGACCAAATTTCCATAGAAGCCCTAAAATTAAACTTTCTTTCCATTTCTATTATTTGTTTTTGTCTTTTTGTGAAATAAACATATTTACATACAATAAAGTTTGTTCAAAAATGTTTTTAGAAAGTCTGAAGATGAACATTTCGGGAAAACAAAGATTTGAGGCTGAAAAGATAAAAACTGAAAGCAAGATACTTGAAACCGTCCTACCTCTCTATGAACAACGAGCAAACATTGGTTGAAAAAGACATAGAAAAGACGACATGATTTACGTCCAAACGACATCTACATTTGGCTGAAAAGTAAAACAACATCTATTATTGGACTAAATTGGGACAAACTCTGACCGACCAAACGCAGCCCAATTTTCAACAACTATTTCTGCATTATATTAAGACTATTACTGTCATGATCTGGCCTGATAGCTCTCCTTAATTGTTAATTTCACTCACTTACCTAACTCTACTTATCACTCATCTCATCCATTGCTTTATATTCAATTCAGCCCGAGCGATTGGGGCCAGATCATTGTTTTGTGTTCTGTGTTTGGTTCTGTTAGTTTTAGTCAGTTCTAAGGTTTATGTCCTGGTTCCTGGCGGGCAGTGGGTTGAGAGGTTTCATGTTCGTCTCGTCTTCTGATCCTGTTCTGGCCCTTCTCCACTGAGTCCTCAGGGATTTGGCTCGGAACGCGGGGAGGGTCCGTTTTATTCCCGTAAGCCTTGCTCCTTGGACGAGACCAGTTTAAAGTCCTGCATAAATCCTGGAACAACGCCTTGTCTCTGTTCCCTCAACCACTGAGCCTGCTTGGTTGCTTCGCTGTCCGTATGGGCACGCGTCTGCTCTCGTCTGACTATGGACTCTGAACCTGCCTAAAAGCTCTTTTGATTCTTGGAACCCCGTTTCTGTTCTGTTCCTGTGTGGATCTGAGCCCTTGATGGAGCTATGGAGTTGTGGATCTCAGAACTGTCCAGTTCTGACCTGGATCGGTCTCCTGTCAGCTCCGTGGTTGCTGCGCTGATCGGGGACACCCTGGGCGGCTCTGCACTGGATCCCATTCGGCAATCCATCAGATGGAACCTGCCTATCACTCAGAGAATGGACTGAACTGTTAGACCAGGTAAGTGACTCACTCGGATAATCATCTTCTGTCAGATGATCGTGGTCACTTACCTGTGTTTCTCTCTGCAGAATCATTGATGGCTTACGCCCTGCCCCTGCAGTCAATGCGGTCGCAGTTCCACAGTCCCGCGCTTCAGTTCTGTCTGTTTGTTTTTGTGCTAATAAACGTTTTGAACTTTCCTACTGGCTGTCTCTCCTTGAATACTGGGTCCATCTGTCCTGCTACAAGACAATGACAGACCGACCAGATTTAGCCTCAAAAACTGCAGATTTTCCATGAGGATGAAGATTTTAAAGTTGTTTCGGTCTTCTATATTTATGTTGTAAATGCAATATTGTTCAATTTTTGTTGAAAGTAGAGACCATGGTTTCTAAATGGAAATTTCACAAAAATTTCAATCCTGAAATGAATCTTTAAGATCAAAAATGGGTTTTCAGAGATGAGCATATGGGACTTGAAGTGAACAGACTGTGATCTGTAAAAAGAAAAAAAAATCTGTAAAATTTGAAATTAATGCAGTTCATTAAACTTAAAAAGACATTTTTTTTATTAAACATTTCTCTTTTTTTAAGCTTTAACTTCAGTTTTTGAATAATTTTTTTTTATTTATTTGCATTTACTAAAAATATTTTCTTTTCTTTACATAATAATGGAACCAATTTACTTTTTTCCGGGTTTTGTTGGTTTGAGGCTCTATTCAACGGTCTAACTATTGCCCTTGCATATAAACAAGCCGGTTTGGTTTAACAGTCCAAAGTTTTATGCAGTATAGTAGCCCACACAGAGAAATAATAACTTTAATTTATATGATAAATATGATTTTATCTGATAAAAGCCATATTATAAAATTACATATCATTTTTCAGTTTACTTGATGACAGTAGTAGGGCAGAAGGTTCCCAGCCTCTGTGCCAGAGGAGGATCTTCTTTCTAGACCTGCTCAGGTTTCTGGGTCACACCTTGAAAACACATTTATCTCAGTCTATGCCCCCACCCCCCCCACCCCCTTCTATCTTCATCCTTTTTTGCTTCTGATGTTTTACTAGATTCCCCCTTTTGGCCAATCAGAGTCCACCTTTTCCAGTTCATGGTTTCTCACCTTAAAGTTTGGAGGTTACACAAAGTGCTTCTATCAAATTGTGACTTGTTTTTCATCCAACAGAGGCTCACTTGCTGATCGGCTAAGGAAGAAGGATAGCTACCCAATCGTGGAGCTCAGCTACCTGGAGGTGGGACTGGGCTCCCAGAGCATCCACATGAAGTTTGCAGATGGAGGCGTGGCCTATACTCTCCTGGTCAGGGACAGCGTGCGCTGCAAGCGCTTCTTTGGTCTCCTAACAGGTAAAACTAAACAGAAGTCATCACTTTGTGCCAGGACCAGGTTCTGGAACAGCTCGCTCTACTTCCCTTTGCAGACTACCGCTACACCACATGTGTGGTTTTTGATTCAAACGTCTACCTCCATCCCTCTTTTCAGCCACTGGTTCATGCAGACTGAGCACATCCTGCTCAGACGACATCAGAACAGAGGCGAGAGGGGGAGGAAAAGCTTTTATTAGACAGGGGTGGGGGTCTTGGAATGTCTGGGGGAATATGGAAAATTAATTTAAAGGTTGCGGAACAAAACAGGAAACCACTTCTGGAATGTATGGAAAAGTAATTTGGTTTCAATCGGATGTTGTATTTTGGCTTTTTGAAAAAAGCAAACAGGGAAAATACAAGTTAAGAGTGGATGTAAAAAGTATACACACCCCAGTGACCGTGCCAGGTTTCTGTGATCAAGATGAATCCCTTTTCTCCCTTATGTATGATTCCCCAATTTGGTGAGAACAACTTGCCTTATTGACATCTGCGGCCTTTACTGTTTTGTCCACATATTCAGCTGTTGGATTTAAAGCTTTAAATTTTTGGGGGACTTCATTTAGTATCTGGTGATCTGTTATGAGTGTGGCCTAGCTTGGACTGCCAGGCCTGGGCCTGTCTACAATTGTCCTTTCTCTTTCCTTAAAGTTCCATGAGCCGTTATACAAGAGATATAAATAAACGTAATCAGGTTGTGATCTATTTATTATATTACAGGGTTTCTGCTGGTCATTAAAAATCATTCAAAGTCATTTAATAGTTATTTTTTAAATTAAGGCCTTAATTGGCATTAAAATTAATTAAATGTGTTTATTGTGGCATTTAAAATGCTTTCTTAAAAAAAAAAATGTAAAAAAAACAATTTCGTCAGACATATTATATCACGATATATTTGCGTGGAACTGCTTCCGGTTGATCGCAAAGAGGTATGTTCGGAAAAGAAGCTTGAATCGGAGAAAAAGCTAGAGAATGGGGAAGAATGACAATTTCACCAAAAGTGGTTGGAAAACGAGGAATTCGGGGCATGGCTGCAGTCTGTCGACGGGTACCTGTTGGTGGCATTAAAATTATTTCTAAGAGCATTAAAAAGCATTAAATTAGAGTTATTCATTCCTGTATAAACCCTGTATTAGCTAGAGCTAACACCATTAGCAGAAGCTAACGTATTATCAAAAGCAAATATATATTGAAAGACTGTTTAAAGTGACAACCTCTGGTTGTTGTAACACGTTGTTCTAATAATTGGTGAAAATGTTTCAATCCTGATGCTAACCATAAACAGCCTCAGTTAGAGACTGGAGCTGTACGTCTGGGTTAGCATCTCCTAGCTACACAAACACCAGGTTCCTTGGCTAACACCCCCCTTGACCTCTGTTTGGCTACGTTCACGCCGCGGCCTGCAGTGACCCAAATCCAATTTTTTTTGCCCATCTGCGACCTGTATCTGATCTTTTCATGACAGTCTGAAAAACACAGATCCGATTTTTTTCAATGCGACCCAGACCGCTTGGCTATGTGGTCCTGAATCCGATACAAATCTGATCTTTTCAAATGCGACCTGTGTCTGAACGGCCAGGTCGTGTCCATCCGACCTGAATGCCGTTAATACAGTGGTCACTCTTCTGCTTCTTGCTACGCAGAAGTGGCAAGAAAAATAACAACAATGGTGGACGATGATGCGGAGAGCAGGATTTATGTTTAATCATCTTGGAAAGATTTAGTTTTTAAGGTTGGGAAAGATCGCTAGATGTTCTCCAGCACTACATCCATGCTTACTTCCGTAAACACAGAGCTCGCTTGCTTGTGACGTCATTGCGTCCTCTACCGCGCAGGCGGGACATTTAGGTTGTATGAATGCAGTTCACTCAGGAGATCACATACAAGTCGCATATATTTGGAAATGCGAACAACACCCCCAAAAAATCGGATTTCACAAAAAAAAATCGGAGTTGAGCATCAAGGCCTTTGGTTCTCCTCATCATTCTCTTGTGATTTCCATGCACTACAGTTCAAACTGAAAAGTTTAATGCCGTTTTAGCTGGACAGAGCTAGCGCTACAGAAACTAGCATGTGTATTTTTCAAAACTTCGCAGTTACAGTATTTTTACCCTGTGGATATAAATGATAAATTACATAAATAAATATTTATTGATTATAGATATTTTCCAAATAAAGTCTATAATTACAACTATCAGTAGATCTACTTAAAAAATTTTTAACATCTCTTAGCCGTTTTAAGTGGGGATAAATATGAGGGTGTCTTAATATATTCCTCCTTAAAAAACGGAATGTTTTATTATATTTATGTAAACCCTAAAGGGCTTGGCTATATTGATAATACTTTACATTGTTTTTTTTGTTTTTTTTTCGCTGATTAATTCAAACAGAAGCAGCCTCTGTCGTCTTTAAAATCCAGCTGATTTTTTTTTACCATGTTGTTTGTAGCACAATGGGTAGCCTGTTTGAAAGGTTTGTTAATATATGCTTCTTCTCTGCCCAAGTCTCTGTCGCTGCGATTAATGCCAGGCTGAGTGTGATTAATCACAGCGAGGAGGTAGATGGTGGCCTAAATGAAAGGCCTGTTAAGTCTGTAGCCTCTCTAGTTTTGCTTCCCACTTCCACCAAAGATAAGTTTTCTTTTCTTTCCCTCCCTCTTTGTTTAAGCTCCCTCTCTGCTGTGAGAGTCTAAATCCATAAACAGCTCATTTAGTTCCTTGTATTTCATTGTGGCTGAAAATGTTTCCAGATTGCCTTCAACAAGACCACAGAGGCTCTTGTTGAATTCTTGGTAAAAATCCCCAAGAGACGCTTAAAGAAAAAATCAGATGTTTCCGATTGAAACGTCAACAATATATTGTTTTTTTCTGAGATATCAGAACAGTTATTACGCAGACGACTCCGTCCTTTCAGCCAAACGGAGCCAAATAGTGCTGTTGAAAAATTTTACCAAAGGATATGGAAACGTTTAAACCAAAACAAGCCCCCGTCCCGTCTCCTGAATCAGCGAACAAAGTTTGAAACCACAGATGGAATGACGATGGACTCTCTGGCTGGAGAGGACGGAAAGGATGTGGTCACGACCGGGACAGCTTTCTGGAGCACGCAGCTTTGACGCAGCTTTCTTCGAAACACGAAAGACAAAACACGTGGCAGATGAGACCTGCAGCAAGAGAAGCGTTTCATTAACGTTTCTTTTCCACTCTCGTTCGGAGCAGTTTATTGCTTTTCATTTGAGTTTGTCTTTAGAGATTTGGGAAGATTGATGGCTTTGTCCCTCTAAAAGAAAAAGCAAATCGGAGAACAGCTGCCTGACATATTGGGCAGTGGTGTGGTGTTTACTTTCATGTGAAAACCATCAGGGGCATTGGTGTTGATGTTGGAGGCTGCTAGAGAGTATGAAACAAGAGGAAGCTGCGGTATTGACATTCACCAGAGCATCATCCAGAGTCCGTTTGTTGCCAACTTGCTTCTAAACACGCTCTGTCGGCCTGTCGCCTTTGCTTATGCATGATAGGAGTCTTGGATGGCACCTCGCTTACTGTCTGCGTTAACATGTTATTTAATCCTGTATTTAGTCCATCATTCTAAGCTTCAGCTCTGCAGTGTGGGAAACTCTAAGCTGGAACCTTTTGGATGAAGCTTTACTTTATCGATCAATTTGTGTCAGTTTTCTAAACTGGCAGCGTATCAAGCTACCGCTGAGTTGTTCAAGTCGAAAGCTTATTATGGAGCAGTTTGTGTTTTAGTGCTTCATCACAGGGGGGTTTGTTTATGACTTGACAGCAGCTGGAATAATGAAACAGTATAGAACTGTTTACTCGACCACAGTACTTCCGACACATTCTCTAGTAACTGGTCCTGGACTTTGATTGATGTGGGATTCAAACTTCTTACTAGATTCAAATGTTTTTTTGGACTAGATCCTTGTTGACAGAAGGCAAAGATCTCTAGCAATAACAGCATCTGGAGTGAAATAATTAAGAAGTTTGACACTGTATAATATAGAATGAAAAAATAGGTAACAGTATATGATATGATACAATATGAAGGAGATACAGTAGTTTACTACACATTTTAATCCGATACAGTCAATTAATTAAAAAAAACTTTTAGTTTTAGTACGGTATAACAAAATAGAAAGTAGTATGCAACAGTATACAATATGATACAATATAATCTGATAGCACCTGAAACACAGTATAGAATAATATAATGTGATGCAATATAATATAGCATAAATACGATATGATACCTTTTTTGATCAACATACAATCATAAACACTATTTAATCTGATACAGAGAATTCAGATAAATTATGATTCAATTTGAAATAATTTCATGTAATATAGTATGATACAATAAAACAGAGTGTCATGTATAACAGTATACAATATGATACAATATAAAATAATATTTCCTGATACATATAATATAGTGTAAGATGATACAATAAAAAATAAAGTAAAATGCAGTATGATATAATAGAATATATGTAGTCGGACGGAACAGTATAATATGATACAATATGATAAGTAGGATACAATATTATATAATACAACTAATATGCTGTGTGATACAGTACTATACAATTTGATTCAGTGACACAATTATGAAATTACTGGTTTATTGGGGAAAAAAATGCATCACAGATTCAAAGAAACAACAAGAGTTTGAATCATTTTGAAAATATTATTGTTAATTATGTCTTTATTTATTGTTAGGGTTCTTATGTGGGTCTCTCTCAATTTGTTACAACATAATAAAAAAATCTGTTGGAAATAAAAGGACAAAAATGTCCGTTTGGATTCATTGATTTGGTTTAGCCTCGTGTCTTTTGATGACATCTTTTTTTAATTTTTACTCTGCTTAAGAAAAAAGATTAAAAAAAGAAAAAAACATCATCAGCTTGAGACGCTTCAACTAGAAAAAAAAAAAATCAGTTTTCACACATGTTCATTGTTAGTCCTGTCCAAACATTCTTATGTTTGTTTTTTTTTCTTCTTTTTGGTAAACCGAGCATTACCAGAATCACTTATGGCCTCCACTGTAAAAGCCAAGCCAGTAGAGGACTCCATGTCCATTGGATGAACTCTGCTGCTCTAAACCTAACCATGAATAGAGATTTTTTCCCAGTTTTTGTTCTAAATTACTTCTTTTTCTACCAAAATGACTCTTTCCTGGAGCTCATCCTCAGAAGAAGGAGTCTTCTGTCACTTTGTGTCCCTTTAAATTCCTTTAAAAGTATCACCCTTCCAGTTTACAGATATTGTCTCACTAGATCTGACATCACAATGCATGGCTGCTCGGGATGACCTGGCGGATCATGTTCTCCCACCCAACCGATTCAATGGAGCTGAAATCTTGCACCTGCAACTGGAGTTGGTTTCCTTGTTTTGGTTACAATAGCAGAAGAGTTCCCATTGGGAGTTCCGCTTCTCCCCAGGGGCTTATTTTCCCCAGTTTGTCGGGGTGTGACGTTTTCACGATTTGCTTTCACACCTCGTCCTCGTTTTCTGGGTCAGCAAATGTAAACATCTCTGAAATCTTTCACCTCACCCTGAACGTCTTTGTGGGAAGGTAGTAGACGGGTGTGTTTGACGTCTGCTGTTTGAACAGAGGCTGCTAACTTTCCTCGGCAGAACCGGGAACCTTTTAGAAGTTTTCCAAAAGGAATATTTTCTTTAAAAGGCCTGTGGTTATTTAATAAATCCCTTGGTTTGTAGATAAGTCCTCGGGGATCTCATTCTCCAATCCTCCCATTCTTTGGTTTTTGGAGTTGTTTTGGAATATTTGGTTGAGTGATGAATGCTCCGTTGAGGACACAAAAGCACACACACTCCACTTTTCCACAATATTTAGAAAAGAATGTAAGTTTGATTTAGGGCTGCAGTTCATTACAGAGGACGGAAAAATGAAACCAGGTCCAGATAGCGGCTGATGCGAAGAGCTGGCGTACATGATGAACAAAGAGCCGGATTGGCTTTAGAGAGCTACCAAAACCCCGGACAGGGAAAAAAATCTGGAAATTTATTAGGAATTCTTCACATAAATAGCATCAAATAAATCCAAATATACCAGTCTACAAACCTCTGACACAAAACTTTAAGCTTAGGCATGAATCTTGCAGACGGTGACAATATGTCAGATTATATAACAAAAAATAAACCTGGAAACACTCATTAAGACTCAAACACTCATGTGTTTGAAATCTAAAATAGATAAGAGGAATTAGAGGAAAGTAAATTTGGCTTTTTTTTTTTTATAACACCCGTAATTTATGATTTTTGACTTGGATTCTTCTTTAAACAGCAAATCCACAGAACCTAAGCTGTGTTGTCCTAATTCTGCGGGATTGTTTAAGAACAATCAGAATTCACTATATGTAAGATAAGGAATGTTAGATTTCTTTCATGATCTATTCCACCAGTGTTTGTAGATACGAGTTATAAAACGCCTTACAGCATAACTAGAGTTGATGGCATTATGAATATTATCTTGTGTCTTGCTGCCTGGGGTTTCACATCTCCTCTTGTATGCTTTGCTTTTCTTTGGGTACTCCACCTTCCTCTGACAGCTCCAAAAACATCGATTGCTGAGTTAACCGAGACCCATACTACGAAGCGAGCTCAACGTAGAGGGATCACTCCCAGTTTAACCAATCCACAACAATGGCAAACAGAACCAGCGGTACCAGGAGGCTGGTTATCAACTCCCTAACTCAACCCAACTAGGACAGGTTGCAAATCTGTCAACGCACACGTATAAAGGGCGGGTTCAGGACAGCGGACCAATCACAATTATGATCGCAGAAGGCAGAGCGCCATATTTCTCCTGAGAGGAACAAAATTCATTTTACAGAAGTCAAATATGGTGGCAGCATGAATGAGACACACAGAGGCATTTGACACAGTCTGCATATCCAATCCTGGAGTGGCATACAGTTATTTGAAGACAGTGTTCCTCACTCTGGAAAAAAGCCCAAATACAAATCCCTGAGGAACTCCTCTGGTTTCTGCATATTTTATCCTTTCTCTGAAGAAATTAGTGAGATTAAGCATTTTTGGATTAAACAGAAGAAATGTCTATGTTCTTTGTTGTCTAACAAGTGTTTTCACCTTCCTTTTTTTAAGGAATCGTTCGAGAGAAGGCTCACAAATCGGAGAGCATGCTGCAGTCCATCTCCACCACCAGGCTCTCCATCCAGCACCATCTCTGGTAGGTTATCTGCGGTTCTTTGTTTTTCTCTGGGTACTCCACCTTCCTCCAACAGCCCAAAACAAGACTGTTTGACTTTAGTTCACCTTTGTTCAACCATGGCTGTTAATTCTTTTTTGCTATTGTGACCATTGATCTGTCATCCATCCATCCATCTAACTTTTGTGACTGTTATTCGTGTTTTAGCCCCAAAGTGTCACTCAAATTTAATTCAGTTTTGTAGGGAAAACGTTCCAGGACTGCAGCATTTCTGACACATCTTTACTTGATTACAATTAGCTCTACTTAGACTCTGTTTGGTGAAACCGCTTCACTAAATTAGCTGGTAAACCGCATTTTAATTTGTAACATGTGTGTTTGCGTCTCTAACCATCCAACAACCCCCCCCAGTAGTTTGTATTCGCCACCAATCTATATTTGTTATACCTTTTAATGGTGTCTCAAACGAAACAGAAGGCAGGCCATTTTTCCCCAAGCCTTTCTTGTTTTTATGAGTGTCTTTATGGATCTTTAATCATAAAAGTATGATTCCAAGGAAGGAAAGTTCACCATCCTGTAGCAATCAAAGGGTTTTATCCATGCTGACATGTTGTGTATACTCCCAAAACAGTCTTGACGGAAAGGTGTTTCATTCGATTTGAACAAATCCCTCCAAAAAAAACCCCAAAAAATGTATTTCTGACAGATGTTCCTGCCTCTGCCCTGCAGAGCCTCGTTGGTGCGTCCATTTACAAACACACAACAAAATGCCTGACATTTCTTGCAGTTTCTCATCTGGTTTTTAGCTCCGAGTCTCAACAATCAAAGGCGAAAAGAAAAACAAATCTGAACAAACTCCTTCATGTGCTCCGAGGCAGCTAACCGCAGCTTCAGAGCACCACCCCCCCAGTGTTTGCGCAACACAAGTTCTGTCAGGCGTTATTATATCAATTATCCCCTTTGTTCTTCTGCTAATGAGAATTACATCCAACACTTTGGGTGCTCACATCTTTCTGACGTAGCTGCACCTGCCAGCTCATTCATCGAAGGAAGAATCCGTGGGATGTGTCTCAATATTTATGAGGACTTCTCCTTTTCTTTTGATCTGTCAGGCCTCTCGTGTGCGAAGACATCCAGGCAGATGTGGAGGACGGACAGCTGCAGTTCTTCTACGTCCTGGCGTTCGTCCTACGAGGTGACTTTTTTTCCCCCCTCAAACCTTTAACGATCTTCAGGCGAGGCGCTCCATCTCTGCCAGATATCTTCTCTGTTATCACTCAGGAAATCTGCTTTCATCAGTTCCTTTTTTTTTTTTTTTTCATTCTTTCCGAGGCCCATTTGCAAGATGTTGGTTTGTTATGGGAACAGTGAGATTTCGGGACACACGTCAAGTGTATCGACATGCAAGGTTTGATTCTGGTTGAAAACCGGTCGCAAATAAACCATTTCCACAAAGCTGAAGAGAAGCAGAGGTCATGCATGTATGCATGTTTTATAGTTTATTTGAGATGTGGGAAAAGGAAAACTTTGATTCCTTTCTCAAGAGAGAAATGAAGACAAACAGTAACGTCTTTGAGCAAATAAGTCTAGATGTTGAGGCAAAAAGCATGAAGGGATAGCTGAACATGTAGTAGAATCGGTGGAAACAATCAGTGCTAAAAGTTAAAGCTGAAGCAGATCCGGACCACACAACATCACTACAACCCCCAAAATGTACCAGTAAATCCAGCAAAGACTGGCTGGGTATAAAAGAAATTAGGAATATATGGATCTAATCAAAGCCTAGATCTAGTTTAGATGCAGAGGGGCGGAACTTGCAATGCCCTGGACACGGAAAAAGTGGATGAACTTCCCTTAGGCTGCAATGTTGGTTTGTTCATGAACATGTCATTGAAATGAACTAAACATTTGTGTGACTAAACTAAATCAAATCACCTCTATTAATCTATTTGTTACTTTATCCAATTAGTTCAAATCAGCAATCGCAAGCTGGTACGGAGGGAGTTCTTCTGGAATACCTGAGCTAATGGCTAAAGTTAGCATGGAATACCTCAGAGCGAATAACTAAGACTATCTAGGAATAGTTCAGAGCGTTTTTTTTCTTTTTTTTTTTAATCATTGCACGCAGCTACTGCTCACACTGTACAGTGAGTTCACAGCTCACGATGTATGTACAGCACGATCTCATGCGATTTACCTGCTCACACTGTGCGACTAAAAACCACTGCGGACTCAGCTCCGCAGTGAGCTGGAGCTCTGCTCTGTAGCTCTCTATCCTGAAGCCAAACAAATAAAAGGGGAATATGAAGCTCACTACAATGAAACGTGCTGCCTTGGCAATTTGTGCAATTTTGTGCTGAAAGCCCTGAAAATAAAAGGCAGCGACGTATTTGGACAAAGACATGGCTGAGCAAACGTGGCTACTACGGTCTGTCAATTTTACAGAAAGAATGCCATTTCACTCGCACCGCTGCCATGCTTCTGTGTTTACATCTGCAAGGAAGAAGAAATAGAAGAGTCCTTGTTTGCGCACTGAGCGATTTGCCCAGGATGGTCTGGAGAAAATCAAACATGTTTTGGTTTTCTCCCGACCTCACGATTCCTGATCAGCAGGTGGTCGTGAGAGGCTGATCGCCCCTCGTAACCCTCTGTACACTACACGACTCAAGACGCACAATCAGGCTGAAAGTCGGCCCAATCGAAAAATTCTCGCACGACCAGTGTTGGGCACGTTACTTTGAAAAAGTAATTAGTTATAGTTACTAGTTACTTCTACCAAAAAGTAACTGAGTTACTAACTCAGTTACTCCACAATAAAAGTAACTAGTTACTAGTAAAAGTAACTATTGCGTTACTTTTGCATTTCTCGCCCCCGTAACCCTCACCACCCAGCCCCCATCTTCTCGCCGTGTGTTTCTAAAGCCAGCTGAATAGAGCGGACAACAAAGA